CTGTGGATTCATCTGAACTACTGAGTAATACAGTGGCAAGCTAATCCTTCTGTAGTGAGAGCCAGATGAAGAGGTTCTCATATCCCATCAACAAAATCTTTCAAGTTCATACTTCAATACATATATTGGTCTACATTCACAAATTATGCACTTGTGGTGCTACAATAACATAATAAGTATATAATAAAAGATACCAAGTAAGAAAAGAATACTATAAAAATTTAAATATACACTAATATGTACTTCTCCCAACCCAGTGAGTCATCTTATTTACCCCTCCGATCTATATCCACTCACACAGAGGCTTTCCTTTGCCAACACTAATTACCTACGTGCTATCTTGGTAAATTCTTATGGAATTACTTGGAACAAGTATTTTTACATCAGGGCTTATGATTTCAAATGCAGTGCTGTCTCCGTTCACACATTTCATTTGTCCCACGATTCTGGGGAAGATGGCTGGGGTCATGCTCATCACCCCCTGTGGAGTACACAAGCAAAAGCAAAATTTTGCCAAATGCTTCTGTGTGTAAACCAAATTGCTCATGAACAGAAGCGCTCATGAACCGAGGCATGCCTGTATAATTAATGTCACTGTGGGTGACATGAAGGGCACATGACTTTTGGAGGTGATCAAAGGGTAGAAGTCAAACCTAATTCAATCCCATCCTACAACTGTGCTAAAAACCCGCCACCTCCCAACAGCCTCCCTAGCCACATGCACCCCCTGTGCATGGAGGGGGCTTCTAAATCATAGAGCCCCTGCTGGATATCACAGTGCAGTGTAATATTTCCAAACTCACATCCATCACCTGTTTTGTGGACTGACTATGGATTTGCATTACATGATTGAAATGTTAAGAGCCAAGTCTAAATTTTGCAAGGGAAAGATTCTTTTTTCTTTCATGAGAATCATTTCCATTGTTGCTAGGATGCTGAATGTTTAGTGAGAACATGTTCCAGACAGTCGCTTCCCACTTTAAACTCCCAGCACCACGTGGAGGGAGAGTTCTGCAGGAGAATAAGATGCTCTTGGTGCCACAATTTGTTAAGGCAGGAAGGTATAGCAAGGCAATTACACTACAGAGCTTACTGTGGAAGAGTGAGTGTCCTTATAGGGGACTAATTAGGTGTTGCTTTGTATTGTTTTAATTCAGTGTCTACCAGATTATGTTTAGCAGAGTTCAAGGATGGTACCTGCTACAGGGACAAGATGGGGTGGAAAGAGAGCAGTGAACCGGCGGGGAGTGCTCCAGCCCCTTCTCTAGCCAGAGCAGCTCTTCTCTGACCTGCTTCCTGTGTTTGGGGATGCTTACAGGTTCCATTCAAACAACAGTCTATTTGCAAATACATCACCAAAGACCGAACACATGTTGAACAATTTCAATATTCTCTTTACAGGCGAAAGATAAAAGTTTTCTATGGTTCATTTTTAAAACTTGCAGCAAGAAAGTGAGGCCAAAATCAAACGTGGTACGATTCCCAGAGCAAAGAATAATGAAAAGAATTCAAAGAAGTACTCATTTTATAGCTTGCACATATGCTTCAAATGAGTGCTGGGCACTCAGATCGTCCAAAGTTAGAATTTTAAGAGGAAATGTAAAAACTTAATCCCTGCTACAGATGACCTCAGTGATAAAGTCACTCAGCCCAGTGTGTGTCTGCGACTTCGTGTAGCCACACTGGAGGACTGATAAGCGAGCAGTTGGGGTTCTGAACTCAGAATCACTGATTATCCATCAGTCTGGAGACTTTGCAAGAAAAATCAAAACAGATACATCTTCTACTCTGTGTGTGTGTGGGGGGGGCATTATAAGAATTAAAACACACCAAAAAATCCAGTGTGTTTGCTCTGAAGGATTTCCTTGGGAAATAGATTGGTGGCAAAGTGTCATTTTCAGTGAAGTGTAACATTTCGTCCCATCAATACTGACTGTCCTTCCACATGGGCCTGGTTAGCCTTTTGCTATAGGCAAGACCATGAACATTCAGACACAGGTATCTGCAACAAAGCACAATGGCGAGCAGAGATGGACAGATGTTGCTTTGACAAAAGTCAATGGTTCTAGTGCCTAAATTTCAGAGGAAACACTGTACTCAGTCAACTTGGTTCCAGTTAATCCTCTGACTAGATAATCCACACCAGATAACACCTCCAACTAAGTAGGTCTATCCACAGCTCATTGCATCTCCCAAATCTTTGCCCTTATTCTAACTCATTCCTCTTTGCTTTTACCCAAACCATCTTCATTCATCTAGAAATACCTCAAATTCACCCCTCTTCTTTAATCAGTTCTATTTATAGTAATTCTTCTCATTTCCAAATTACCCTGTTCATTCAACAAATATTTATTGAGCATCTACTATGTGTCATGCACTGTTGTCCTCGCTGTGGATGCACCGTTGATCAAGACAGAGACAAGTTCTTGATCTTGTTGAGGTTAAAATACTGGTGGGAATACAAGTACAATCACAATAACAACAACAAACAGAGATGCATACACACAAATATACACATACATTTTCATTTACATAGTGTGAGTTCAGAAAATAGAGCTCTAAGGAAATACAAAGCCAGCTAACAGAAACCCATACCATCCACTGTCAGTGCCCCTCAGTTCCCATATGAAACCTTGCATCCTGACTTACCTTTTAATCTGTGACTATTTTGTGAGGGTTTTGAGAGAGAGCTATACTGTGTGTCATCTGCAGTGCCCAGCTCAGGTCTTAAAACAGATGTTCAATAAATATTTGTTGAATTCCCTCAATTAAATGAAATCTATTTGCCCGCATCATGGAGAGGGATTTCAATCTGCTCCTGACTAATGGGCTGGCTTAGACCCCACAAGCAGATGAGAAGCTTTGGGAACGGTTGCAGCTGTCAGAGTGACAGATGCTAATTTAGGTCACAGAAATTTTGTTTTGAAATATGTGTAGTTGATCGATGTAATACTGTCACTATACTGTGATGGGTCCTAAGGTAAAATCCTCACAGCTTCTCCATTTTCTAGAACACTCCTGACTCCATAGATTCTTGTTTCTTTCAAAATAAAGTTTGTAATTATTGTTACTATAGCCTTAAATGTATAATTCAGAATTCTTGATATTAATAAATCCATAAACCACAGGGGAAAAACTGAAGAAAACAGCGCCTGTAGGAGCATCTGTCTGGAATGTTATGGCTTCCTCACACAACAAAAGCTGAATGGCTTCTTCCCTACACCGCTCTTTGCCCTGTGCATAATTTACACTCCCAGTAAGTCAGTCTGTTGACCTTCTTTGAGTGTGCATCACCACGGGGCCGATCTAGGTGAATGAGGTAGAAATGCACACAGTGATGAAGGCCCACACTGTCCCTGGGGTGGTAACCAGCTGGGCACCGTGCTGACCTTCCTCAACTGCCACCTCTAGAGTTGACAAGGCAGAGCACCCTTCCAGGGTGACCTCATACGTGGTTGCAGAGAACCGAATGTGTGACCTGGAGTCAGACAAAGGGAGATTCAAATCCTATTTCTGCCACTCACTGGCCAGCTACCCTGGTCCAGATTCTGTCTATCTGTCTGTCTGTCTGTCTGTCTCTCTCTGTCATTGAATCTGACTTTCCTCTTTGTATAAAGGGCATAACGAGAACACCCTTTTAGAGTAGCTGTGCGCATCACATGAGATAAGGTCTATAAATGCTTCATATCTCATACTGAAGACTTACATGTCACTGTTTTTAATATTATCTTTCTCCCTTATGATCACCTTGTGCTAAACATTAAAATACAAACTCTAAAAAGATACCTTCCAGGATTTCAAGAAACTCATTGTCTACGTCTAGAAGGTGAGGGACAAATACAAGTAAACAATTCCAACAAGAAAATGAACAGAAAGCAATAATAAGGGATATCTGGAGCCCTCTGGGAGCTTGGAGGAACAATGTCTAATTCATGGGGCATGTAACAGCTTCCCAGTGACAGTTACACACGAGTTCAAAGGGGCAGACAAAGTTCAGGAGTGGTGGGAATGGAAGGGAAGTCCAGCAAGGGGTACGGGACGAGCAGGAGCATGGGCACAGGCATCAGAGTGTGTAGAGGGAGCTACAAGCCGTTCAGTGCCGCTGCCCAGAAGCCCAGAGGGGGATGAACACAGAGCGGTACTGGGAAGACGGGTGGGAAGCAGCTCGTGGGGGGAGCTTGTGGAAGCAAGTCATGGTAAGGATCCTGAAACCCACCCTGCAGAGGATTGGTAGAAAAATGCAACTAAAGCATTAAAGGAAAGAATTGATACCGCTGTATTTAAACAAAACACATCACACTGGTGACGGTGTGAAAAAGGGGTTGGACGAACGTGTGAGGAGCTGGAGAGACACTTAAATAAGATTCTAAACTAGGGCATGGTTGTCAGCTGTCAGGAGGAATTCAGGAATAAAGAGGTGATTAGGTAGGGCTAGATGCAGAGAGGAAAATGTCCAGGAGAACTCACAGGCTTCTACCTACGGGGTGAAATAAAATGAATTTAGAAGTCCAGGGAAATTGTGACAGGCCTTGGACCTTCTGTGCTTCAAGGTCCTGAAGTTCCCTACAGTTATGAGAGGGTGTAGCGGGAGTGGAGGCTGGCAGTGGATGCCAGAGACTTTGGCGTTTCAGCTCCATAAGCAGCAAGGTGCCCTGTAGTACGGAGTAGGGGATCAGCCTTCCCAAGCGTGAGATCGACGCAGGGTAAATGCGTGCCTGTGTGATGTGGCGTCAGGTGCCTGGGGACACCAGCACATCCCTCCGACTTCCACCTGGGCTGTGAACTTACGGGAAAATAACAGCCCGGCGGAACAGGACCAGGGCTGCAGCCTTGTACTAGGACCAGTGCCACGGTTGGAGCAAGACGTTATCTCCCGGGTGCCCAGCACTCTGGAAGAGAGCTTAAGGACTGAGAGGGTTTGTTCGCAGGGGCACCGCTCTTCCCTCGCCCTGTACCTGTCAATCCCCTACCACCTCCAGGGATGCGGATATTAAGTGCTCTCTAATTTATTATCCCTTCGCCTCCTAGCGGACCACACTATTAACCGTTCTGACCTCCGCGGCCAAGTGCTCCTCTTCCCTGATGCAGGGATCAATGCCCATAAAATAGCTTTCTCCTGAGAAGTTTCAAGCACCTCAAAACTCATCTGGGCGGATGAGCAGCTTAAACCGCTCCCAGAGCCTCGATGTGGTTAAGACCGGAGTGTCTAGGGCGTACGGTCGTCATTGATTCCTGAGATGGGGACACAGAAAACAGAGACTCAGCCCCTGGGGGATACAGCTTACTGCCTTTCTGCAGTCACCTGCGGAGGGGCAGCTCAGCGCATCTACCCACGCCCCACCAGACAAAGCCAAACTGTGCTAGTCTTCCATCCCTGTGCACCTTTGCAAGTAGACTCATCAAATAGTTCTGACTTTTGGCTGTAAAAGGCATTCTTACTGAAGAGGTGTGTGAATGTTTCTGATTTGGCTAATAAAATAATGTGGCTAGAGGGAGAGGTGCTTGTACATAACATCAAGGGGCTATGTAAATTGCAGGAGTTTTATACTTGCTTATGGGTGACTTCAAAATCATATATATATATATATATATATATATATATATATATATATATCTGTTTAAAAAAGAAGAGTTTGCATGCTGGGCATGGTGGTGCATGCCTGTAATCCCAGTACTCGGGAGGCTGAGACAGGAGGATCCTTGTGAGTTCAAGGCCAGCCTGGGATACAAAGTGAGCTCAAGGCCAGCCTGAACTGCATAGTGAGACCCTGTCTCAAAAAGACGAAAAATAAAATTAAAAATTAAAAAAAAAAGAGTTTGCATACTCCTAGATCTAGGAATAGTGCTTGCCTCATCTTCTAGCAAAAATGTCTACAGGAATATGTGATCAAATACAGAAGAGATTGGGTGCATTCTGGGTGGCATGGCCTTAGACTATGTGATCAAATACAAAGGTTATTGAAACCACGAACAGAATAGAAACCCATTCAAGACCCATTAAGTTTGCAATACTGGGGAAGTGAAACCATTTATGATGATATTTTAAAGAACATTCTCCCCACATAGCACCTACAAGGATGGAGACAAGTTCAAATTATTTTTGACTCCGGGCCTATCATTCTTACAAGATAACTGGACAGATTCCGTCTCCCTTCCTTCTGACTCCCTTCTTGGCTATTTTAGGAAAATAAGAGTCAGCCCTGGATGTACAACTAACAGACACTTTGACATATATTTAATCACCTGTGACTGTCTCGGGTAGTCAAGTGATTTTGAAGGAGTGTCCCCAACCTTCCACCTGTAAAAGTGTAAATGAAAAGCACAGGGGCATTGCTCACAGGCTATTTCCGGCAGGCCATGCAGAATCCCAGCACAGAGATCGCTTGCAGTTTAGAAAACCTCAGTCGCCACCGAGTGTATTTTCCATGGATGTATTTTCTGGATGCTTTTTTTTTTTGGAATCAATTTCAAGGCAAAAGTCTGAGGTTGGAGGCAGAAAATGGAGAAAATCCTGTAGAAACAGCCGTGTTAAAGATACAGTTACTTCCCGGTAGGAACTATGAGAGGAGAACACTGACAGCTCACTTACACAGAGCAACCCATGTTGGATTCTGTGAACAGGGACTGAGGGAACCTATACTAAGCACATTTGCAAACAGAAGATAGTGCCACTGTTAGCATTTTCGCTTTTGTCTTTTAGACTTGAGGTCTCGCTTTTCAAATGAAAACAAGTTTGTGAGTGTTCATACCCCATGGAGGATATGCTGCTAATCCCATCTCAATAACACTTGCAAAATTAACTTTTTCCAGGTTACACTGCAAAGAGCTTTATGTCTGTACAGAATAGTCACCGTTTTATGACCCATTGTTGTCTAAAATCTACAGATTTTGGCATGAACTTACAGGGCTCAAGGTTTGGTCCAACAATGTAGAAGTGATATGAAATAGAAAACTAAACCAAAGCCATTTTGTGTTCTAGTGCCATTTTAAAGCTTAAGTTTCTGTTTCCTTAAGTTTGTTTCTTGTAAATATTGTCATAGTTACCTAACTCAATACCACCCCATGCTCTGTCCTAAGACCGCTTGTCCCCTATGTAAAATGTCAAACACCTTTTTTCCTCTGTCAAAAGCTAAGCGCATGCTTTGTAATCTTTCTATAGCTGCAATAAATCATAGCAGCACCACCACCCCCCATAGACCCAAAACTAGACCCGAAGCTAAGACTGTATAACTATTCTCCCCTTCCGTCCTTTGGGGTCGGTGCTCAGTCACGTACTGGGCACCCACCACAGGCCCTCAAGAAACTTGCTTGTCTCTGCATCTGGCCTCCACTGGTGACTCAATTACATAAGCGCCTTTGCTCCAACAGAAGCCTTTGAAGACTTGAAAAGTCCCATTTAGAACTAAGTGTCTGCAGTCTTTCAGTTCTGTCACAGAATAAAAAGTGACAGGTAACCAGGTTCCCTTTCTTGGCCAGCTAAACCTGGTTAGGCTGAAGATGCTAATTAAGCTGTGGTGGTTATGGAATAGAACTCCAACTTTTGATACTTCTTTATAGAGTTAAATTAATGTCTTGAGGTTGAAAACCTTTTACATTAGAACACAAAAGACTGATTGTGCTTTTTATTTTATTGTTTTATTTTGTTTTAATTAGACTCAACATTTAATTAGCTATTTTCTGCATGCCAAAGTACAAGATACTAATGAATTGTGATAACCCATAGGCTAACCATAGGGAAAGAGAAAAGAACATTGTGTTTAGTGTTAAAAATGCAATGCAAAATAACGTTAATTATAAAATTATCTGTAATGTATGTGTAAAAATTACTACATGCAGTTTTATAATTATTGACATAATAAGGTAATTATCTTTAGGAAATAGTACCTTACACTCAAGAACACTAAGGGATCCTGTTAAAAGTTGCCGGCAATTCCTCAGAGGACTCATATGTTAACAAAAGGTGAAAGATTTATACAATCTGAAGAGAAACCAGAGTATAGGACTCATATCTAGAATATATGAAGAACTCAAACAAATTAGACCTCCCAAGTAAAAGACCCAATCAAAAATGTCAGGTGAAATGAATGGACACTTCACGGAAGAAGTACAAAGGCCAAAATGCTCAACAAAGCTGGCCATCAGAGAAATGCAAATTAAAACAATGAGACTCCATCTCACTCCAGAAAGAATGGGGGGTATAGCTTAGTGGTGGAGCATTTGACTGCAGAAATAATAGATATCATCAAAAAATCAAACAATAACAAATGCTAGAGAGGCTTCTGGGATAAAGGAATATTTCTCCATTGTTGGTGGGAATGTAAACTAGTACAATCACCATGGGAATCAGTATGACGATTCCTCAAAACACTAAAACTAGAAATTCCACTTGACCCATCTGTTCCCCTTTCAGGTGTTTTCCCAAAAAACTTAAAGACACCATATTACAGAGATACATGCATACCCATGTTTATTTTATGGCAGCACAACTTCTGATAGCTGACTCTGAGAAGCAGCCCATATGTCCATCAACAGTTGATTGGATAAAAAGGTGGTATTTACACACAATGGAGTACTACTCTGCCATAAAGAAGAATAAACTTCAGTCATTTGTAGGAAAATAGATGCACCTTGAGACTATAATGTTAAGTGAAAAAAATCACACATGCAAGTTTAAATATCACATTTTTTGTCTTATATGAGAAACCCAGAGTGAAAATAAAGAGCAAAATAAAAAATAGATAACAGGAAGTAAGAAGCTAGATTATTCTCAGAAGGTAAGGGGTCAAGAGATGGAGGAAGTAGGGAAGGAGGGAAGGGGTAAGGGATGAAGAAAAGGAACTGGGATGTGCTATGCACAAGTACTAGCTCCCTACGAGGAATGTAAGCACTAGGTATCACACATGTACTATTAAACTAAAATATTTTTTAAAAACCATACAGAGATGGGGGACGGGAGGTAAAAAAGGGAAGGAGGAGATGAAAAAAGCCTACAGCTGTGCCGGGTACAAGTACCAACACCCCACGCGGAGTGTAGTCATCATGTTCTGCAAAGGTGGACTAATAACAATTTTTTTAAATATAAGAAGAAAAGCCTCTACTGTAGAATACAGGATCTCCATCAGTATGCCCAGGTAGTCTTCCCCATTAAACACATGAATGAGTTATTTTAAACTAGCTTCTTGCTGGTTGATCTTTGACAGCAGTCTTCAGGTTTTTTACTGATGTGTCTCCCTAAAATAAATATGAAATGCTGGCTATCCCTCCACATTATTTTAGGCAATCTAAGCCATTTCAATAGTAGCTTACATAGTTTCCATGACATAATTTCCAGCACTTATAAGTAGCAAGTGTTGCACTGCATTTTAAAATATATACGATGGAATCTAAATACCAAAGTGTTTTGATAGCCACCTTCACCTACGTAACTGATGTCTGAATACTCTTGAGTGGTGGGCATTTCACATAATACTTTGCCTTGGTGAAGTTTTTCTGTTACTCTTTCTTCACATAATTTGACCCTGATACAATATAATGTTATGTTTGAAAACATTTTTACCCTATTATATTTCTTTGCTTATATCTTAAAACTGGATTATATGAAAAATTTTTTTATAAAAACAAAGCTCTAAGTAGTAAATTATATTTTCATAATAATTATTAGTCACGCTTAGCTGATCAAAGAAATATAACTATGTTTCAAATTCTGAAATGTAATTAGTAGCAAAATGCTATTGAGAATCCAACCTCTTACTGCAGTAGTTTTATTCTTGACTCACATATGCTTAAATGAATATTTTAAGCCCTGAACTAAAACAGGATTCAACGTCAGTTCAATCCTAATTATCTTTTAATGCATATAAATACTAAGGAATAATTCAATGGAAATAAATTGATTTTGGTTCTAATAGTTATTCAGATTCTGATCCTGTAAGTTAGATGCCAAAAATCACACAGTAATCTATCATCAACAATTATTTTTTCATGATAGTTCATGACCATTCAAAAGATCCTCCTTGATTTTGTTGACAGCAAAATATTGCAAAGTCTGACTTACAAAAGTGCGCATCACCAAGTTATTAAAATGACTTTCAGTTTTGGGGAAACATAGCAAACCATAAAAGCCTTACAGAGACTTTTTAAATGATTATTAGTTATTAATTAAACTCATTAAAGTCTTTCTCTTGGAGGTATTGTATGAGCCAACTTTACTATTGCTCGGACACAATATCTGACACCCACAATTTAGAGGAAGAAGTGGTTTATTTGTCTTATGGCTTCAGAGGATTCAGACCATGGTTGGCTGGCTTCATGTCAGAAACATCATGGTAGGAGGGCACAGTAGAGCAAAGCTACTTAAATCATGCGGCTGGGGGCAGAGCAGGGGAACAGTGCCAGACAGGAAGAAGTGAGAGACTACATATCGACCTCAAGTCATGCCGTTATTTCCCACCAAGTTATACCCAGAAGTGTGCTGTACTAATGCCTCAGGCAGTTCTCACACCATCAAATTGACAATCCATCTCATGTCATAGGCATCTTGCTTGTACCTCTTTAAAACTGGGTGAAACTGGAAGCTGTACATTTTAAGATTTCTCCCATTGTCTACAAACAAAGATATTTATCTTCTTGACAATCTTTCATTTATAAGTTTAAGAGAGGATAGCAAATAGACAATACTTGGTAATAGGTAGGTAATTTCATAGTTGGAAGATTATTAAGTATATAATTATAAGTATGACAGAATTGGAAGAGCATGTCAGAATCAGCAGGGAAGAGACTGGTCCTATTTAAATACTGCTGGCTTTCTAAAGTGCTGCCTATTGTATGCTAGATTGCATTGAAAGAAAATTTTATTCTGTACTTAGAAATTAACAGCTATAAACTGCAAGAACAGGGCTTAAAAGTGAGTGTGTATATTCATCACTGTTCTTAAGTGCATTCTTTACAAGAGAACCCACACATACTTTGGTTAATTTAATCTACATCGTATAAATAAAATGAATTAGTAGTGAAAAAGTTGAAAATGACAGTGCACAGTGTATTCCTAACTCAAAATAAAAAGAGAAAAAATACAGATTTACAAAATCACACTTTTCTTTGTAAGAGGTCCAGAAATTATTTCACCAACCATTCTAAACAAACGTTGACGAAAAACTAGCCCTGTATACATTTCATTACATTAAGATATAATGTTATTTTTTTGGAAAAGGAACTTGTTTTTACTTCCCTCTCTTTGAAATCATGCAAAATATCCAATTAAAAGTGTTCGCTTGCTCTTCTCTTATTACTGGAAACTGTGAATATTTCAAAACAATGTGCTTCATGAACAATTAATATTCCCAAGCACCCGTGCTATGTATCTTAAATATCCTAAGATAAATTGATACGGTGCGTGTGTATCAGAGTCTCCCTAAGAAAAAACATGACATGCATGGCAAGGAATTGATTTTGCAGACGGTGGAGAGCTGAATGGGCCAACAGGATCCCCTAAGTTACCTCAATGTATAGCCAAAGAGCACCCGCTATCCAAGGCAAAGGTTGGAATTATCGCAGCTCAAAGTCCCACAGGCTGTGACTCGGACTGTGAAAGGAGCACACCTCAGCTGCTGCTAGTACTTCCGAGAACAGGCCAATGAGCTGGCTCAAGAAGTTGTGAAAGGAGCTGGAGGCCGGAACCAACTGCCACTGTCAGGCCAGGGAACCATTGCTGGGATCATAGTGAAAAGGACCAAAAAAAAAAAAAAAAAGCATCCCTACTGCAGAAAGAAGGCCAAGGGCAAAGAAGAAATGTGTTAGGGTTGCAGCCCAGCCCACTGAGTTATGACTGAGGGAGAGATTTGCCGCTGAAAGGAAATGACTTACAAAGTGACTCTGGGTAAGGCTGGGCCCTGAGACTGTCACCTAGGTGACAATGGCTGCCTCCCTGGTAGGCATCCATATTTCATTGTTTTTTCCCCTCTGGTATTACAAGTCCTGGTACAAAGTCCAGTACATAGTAGGCACTTAAAAAATATTTATTAAATCAATACATAAATGGAATCCAATCATAGTTCTGATTGCAAAGCCCATGATTAAAATTTTTTTACAACACTCACTGCCTTTGAGAGGGGATTAAGCCACAGAGAATCTCTTCTTATTTTACAAATTTGCCAACAAGCAGCTGTAGCAGCCCATGTTGTGTAGTTTTCCAGTGATACGACATGGACAGTAACTAGCGACTTCTATCTAGTCTGCTTCTTTTCACATCAGAGAATGGAATTTTATCTGATGACTATATCATTATAAAATCTTTACACACAGACACAGCCGGGGTTTTATTTTGTGCTAAAACTACAAATAAAATGGAGAGCTCACTGTTAGAGGAATCTCAGGAATGTTTCAGACATGCTTAGAGAACAATACATGTTTAATGCTCTGCAAAGACCTATAAAAAGTTCAATGATATCAGAGGCAATAAGTTGTGAATGAGTCACAGGGATTCAGCTTGTTCCCGAGAACCTGCTAGTTTCTCCTCTCTGTCCTGAGCCCTGCACCACTGTACAGGAGCGTCAAAGCCTGAGACATGAGAGCAATTCAGATTTGCATTGTTACAATGAGGGAGAAAACCAAGAAAGTTGCCAGATTAAAAATAAACTCATTCCATACAACCCACTGACAATCCTCTGGGGTACGCGTGTTTTAGCTCTAAGCAGGTAAGCATTTAGATTTTTGCTATCAGCCCGGATAAGCTTCAATAACTTCTTTAAGGGATGTGCGCCAAATACTCTACAAAATTCCGTGGCAGTAAGAGCAGTCAACCAGTCCTTGAAACTTTGGATTCTCCTCTAAAAAAAAATAACTCTTATTTTCCCAGCACAGAAATTTCAAGCTTCTTTACTTGCAGCAGTAGTTCAACTGACATTCTTTAATGCTGAGTAGAATTCAACAGCATTTCTTTGGGAACCTGTGCCTGGTCTATTAAAACTTGTCCTGGGCTGGGGATTTAGCTCAGCGGCAAAAGCGCCTGCCTGGCAAGCGCAAGGTTGTGAGTTCGGTTCCTGGTACCAGAGAAAACCGCCCCCCCCCCAAAAAAAAACAAAAAACCTGTCCTGATTTCTCTCACGTTACCTTGACATTCAAGGCCATGAAATGATGCTGTATATTCCTGAGGCTCCTTTTGGCAAAAGTTGAACATTAATGAAGTTTTCATTCTGAGTGTCATTGACTGATTTATTCTATTTTCTGGAAGAAAAAGCTGATTTTTGCCCTATACTCAGTTTGGAGTGATGTGTTTTTCTTTCTCCACTTCTGAGGTTGTCTGATTATACACTCCCTGGATTTCCAATCCAGGCAAATGAGGCACTAGGTTATTTCACATTTTGGTTATATCTACAGTGGATTTTATGACAGTTTTGGTATTAAAGTCAGAGTTTCACTTCAAGAAATGAAGTGTTGGCATTTGAGCTGGAAAAGCTTAGGCAGGGGATATTTTTGCACCCTGTGGAGTAATGAATGTTACACCAACATATGGCTTCAGACATGAGCGTCCCCTCCTTTGAGCCCTTCTG